GGCATGCGCCCTGCCAATTTCCTCTTCCTCGTCCCCCCTCCCCCCTCCTTCCCCCTCCTCCTTCTCCTCCTCCTCCCCCCCCTCCTCCTCCTCCTCTTCCTCGTCATCCTCCCCCCTTCCCCCCCTCCTCTTCCCCCCCCTCCTCCTCCTCCCTCTCCTCCTCCTCCTCCCTCCTCCGCCTCCTCCTCTTCGTCCTCCTCCTCCCCCCCCCCCCCCTGCGATTCCCTGTCCTTCTCCTTTTTGTTCTGCCTCCGCTGACGCCGCCCCTCCCCCGCGCGTCCACCCGCCCTTCTCCGTTCGGCCGCCCTCCTTTCTAATGGCATCCACTCGTGCTTCATTCATGCCCCATGCTCGTGACAACTGCCGCTGCTCATGCTGCAATCATGCTTCATGCTCATGCCCACGCGCACTGCCCTTGCTCATGACCCCGTGCTCCACGCATATGCAAACTGCAAGTGCTCGAACGAACTACTTACTTGTGCCGAATGCCCCTGCTCATGCCTTCGCACATGCCGCAAACTGCAACTGTTTATGCCGCAACCGCCATTCCTTCCCCTTGCGACTTCCACCCCTGCCCTCACTCGTAGCCACTGCTACTGCTACTGCTCATGTCACTGCTACTGCTCATGCTCATGCGACTGCTCATGCCACTGCTACTGCTACTGCTCATGCCACTGCCACTGCTCATGCCACTGTTACTGATCATGCCACTGCTACTGCTCATGGCACTGCCACTGCTCATGCCACTGTTACTGCTCATATCACTGCTACTGCTACTGCTCATGCCACTGCTACTGATACTGCTCATGCTACTGCTCATGCCACTGCTACTGCTACTGCGACCGCTCATGCTACTGCTCATGCCACTGCTGCTTCCACTCCTGCGCATGCTTCTGCTACTGCTACTGTTCATGCCACGGCTGCTGCTACCACTTTGCCACTGCTACTGCTACTGCTGATGCCACTTGCTGTTTCTGTGCATTTCACCACCATGTTCCCGTAAAATCGTCCACGACAATCATCGATACAACCATTCAAAAACAAAGCGCCCAAGCAGTCATAATCAGAGCGCATTCGTGGCACCCCAGAACAACTAAGTTAAGGGCGAACTTAAGCTCACTAAGTTAGCGGTAAAGGTGCCCAAAACTAAGTTAAATTCTAAAGTGAAAAATCTAAGTTCAGATACTCCACCCACAAGAACACTAACCTAGTTTTCTGAGGGTGGCCGATCCGAGGGGCAAAGTAAGAAGGCCACGTGGGCCGAGCTCTCGGAATCTGCGTTCCCAGAAGGAGCGGCGGAAGGCGAGGTCCCCGAGGCGGAAGCCGAAGCGGAAGACGAGGACTGGCTGCCCGAAGGCAGCGGCGACGAGCCAGAGACTCGAGGTGCCAGGTCCAAGAAGGGGCCAGAGCAGCTAGACGTGGAGGCGCCCGAAGAAGAAACAAGGCTGCTGTGCAAGCTCCACGCAAACATGGGGCATCCCGAGTCTAGGAAGTTCTGCCGAGTGCTGCGAGCTGGGGGCGTTAAAAGGCACCTAGTCCGATGGGCGCGTGATATATCTAGGTGCTCCGAGTGTGCTGAGCGTCAGCGTACTGGCGCCCATAGTAAGGTTGCCCTCCCACGCGCGTTTCGATTCAACCACGTAGTGGGCGTGGATCTCTCTTACATCGAGTTCCTCGGGGCTACGCACCCTTTCCTCAATTTGGTCGATCACGGATCGAATTTGCAAGTGTGTGCGGCTGACCAACGCTCGGGCAGCCGCGGTGTGGAGCGCGTTCGTCTCTTCCTGGATCAGACCTTTCGGGGCCCCTCATTTCCTTCTGAGTGATGGGCATTCGGAGTTTCATGAGCGCTTTGCCCGTGGGCTCGAACAGTGGGGGGTGATGCATCACATGTGCGACGCCGACTCCCCCTGGCAAAATGGGCGAGTTGAGCGCCGCGGAGGTTTGTTGACGGAGGGTCCGTCTCTGTCTCATCTTCTGATTTGACTTCGTCTGAACCAACAGCTGCGATGTCGAACCAATGAGTGCAGCGAGGTAGATGATGAGGGATGTTTGTTCTCAGGTCTATGCCGCAGTGGTCACGCTGCCAGTCCTCGAATGGGCGCTTCTTGGCACGGCGCGCCTCTGCCTCGTCCTTGCGAGGCCCGCGATATCCCTTCTTACGAGTCGTGGTTAAAAGGTATATATACAGAGGTTGCCAGTGTGGCCAGCGAGTTCAAAACGAGCGGAGCTCGCGCGCTAGCTCGGCCGGCGTGCCCGCCAGCCTTGAGGCTCGAGCCAACACAGGTGCGGGTGGCATGCGTGAGCGCTACGTGCCGTATGCCGTGCAACTACTATATTATACAGAGCCTCCAGAGAGGCCCCAACAAAAAGTTGAAGCGCAGATACCATTATAGCGCAATTTGCGGACGTATCCGAGAGCTTGTGTCGCAGCGGCTGATCTCTGTCAACGCGGCCCGGTACAAATTGGATATACAAGTCGGGCATTGTAGAACAAGTGCTCTGCGACATGCCGCTTCTCTCTCCTCTGATGCTACTCTGCAGCGTGTCATGTAGACGGGGGTCCAAAGTCAGTATTCCAGGGGTCCTTCACAGCACCCGTCCCCGCGTAGTTTCATGACCACGCCTGCGCGCTGCGGAGAGCAAAAGGGCAGTCAGCTGCTGCGGAGAGGTTCGCCCGGCGCGCCCGCCAGGAGCTCGCTGCATACCGGCGCGCCCGCCGGGAGCTCGCTACCCGGCGTGCCCGCCAGAAACTCGCTGGAACCGGCGCGCCCGCCAGGTCCAGGCTCGCTCAGCGCAGCCAGCGGTAGTTGGTCTGCGCGAGGTCCATAAGCGCAGGCCTGGCGTCTGCAGGGGCGTCGCCCAGACACGCCCATCCACGCGCTGGTTGACTATGGTCCCGCTCCGGCCTTGGATCTGCACGTGCGTCCGCGCCTCGCCGTCTGGCACTGATAGCGGTAGCACTTCGATTGGTGCCAACCTATCGGCACTGACCAGGCTGTGGAACCCCAACTCTGACCGCTTGCCTGTAGCCGCGTCTGCCGCGACGCAGGCACGAGCATCGCCCTCTCGTCCGAGAACCTCCACGATCTGGCACAGATGATCATGGTGTTTCGTCTTATCCCGGCTCTGCTGAGAAGCTGGCCTCGCAATCAAGCAATAGTCCCCCACTCTTAAGAAATCTCCTCTGCCGTGTTCACGGAGTCGAAGCTCTAGTTGGCGGGGGCGAACTATACCGTGCTGCTGCGAGACGAATTTGTGAACGTTCTGCACGTGTTCCACCTACTTCTTCACATAGTCGGTGATGGGAATCTGCTTCGCAAGTGCCGGCGTGGACAAGGTCGAATCCAAGAGCATCCTCGGCTTCATGCCCGCGATGATTTCGTAGGGGGTGCACTGGGCATTGCAGATTTTCGCACTCCTCCAGACAGACCACTGGAATATTGGTGCAACCGTATCCCAGTCCCTTCGTTCCCTCATGAATGCTCGTGTCAACGCTTTGTACTCCCTGTGTGGCCGCTTTACAGCATGCTGAGATTCTGGGTGGAAAGATGTTCCCAGACTCTGCTCGGTGCCGAATGTCTTTGCCAAGTCCTGAACAGCTGAATGGACGAAAGCTCGCCCCTGGTCAATGCTGATTATGAACGGTATCACGACCAAGTCCATGATCACCCACTCCGCCAGTGCTCTGGCGGCCGTCTCGCTGGTGTCGTCCTGCGTAGGAATGCCCCAGTACCAACCACTGAAATTGCACACTGCCGTGAACAAGTACAGGTGGCCTGTCGCTGTCGGAAGGTTCTGCGGCCCAACGCAATGATTAATGCGTGGTCAGGAAGCGGAAGGGGCCGTCGTAGTCGCGAGATCGTTGGAAGCCAGATACCACAAGCGAGCTCTTATTCATCCGGCACACCCAACAATTCCGGACGACAGCGTTCACGTCACTCGACATATGCTGCCACCAGAGACCGCTGTCCAGTATCATTGAGAATGTCCGGTCCCTGTCTCTGTGTGCCCCAGTGATCGTGCAGTGATACGTAAGACAAACATATCGTCGCAAAGACAATCGTCGCTCCGCCCCCTGATATTCGACGGTGCGCCAAGCTCCCATTGGAACGACAGTGTACCACTCGCGAGTCCCAGAAGGCATATGGAACTCCAACCTTTGGAGCAATCCTCCGTAGAACCGATGCTGTCCAAGAACACCGTGAGCTTGATGCAGGTCCTTCAGATCCACGCCACTCCTCCTCGACAACCGGCGGATTGAATTCTCGTCGATGTCGTTCGGCTCGCCGGTTATGTTTACATAGTCGATGCTCCCGCTGGCGTTCTGGCCGGGGCCCAGAAACAGCGTGGCGCCGTAAAAGCTGTAAACGTCGAGGTGGGATGTCGCCCTCGTCGTTGCTGCCGTGCCACCAGTCTCATACTTCTCCAACGTCAGGTTGTCGTCGTCGTCCCAGCAGAGGGTCACGCGAAAGCTGACGTCGCCCCACTTGGCCCCATCAGTAGGGGGCACTCGGCATCGCTTGGGCCTCCGGGCCACGACCGCATCCAGCAGAGTAAGACAAGCATGCGGCTGAAGAGATTCAAGCTCGTCTTGTGAAAAGTGCCCGCGCACCAGCGCACAACGAAGCCTTTTATCGGACCTCATCCATCAAGGTGTTGTCGCCGATCGGGCGCCACAGCGGCAGGGTGGACCCATCCGAGCCCTCGCCTGCGACCCGCCCGGCCAGAAAAAATAGGAGCAAAGCCGGTGCCCTCGCGTCTGGCCCGGTTTTGCACGTGGTCAACAATTTGCCCCTGTCAACCCCGAGCGCTGTCAAGGCTCCGCTGAATCCGACGATCCGCAAAGACGACGGCACTGGGAACCCCGGCCTCTCGAGCGTCTCCCGGCGATCACCGAAAGCTTCGCCGCCCTCGCAAGCAAGCGCACCCGACGACCGCGCTGGCATTCCGAAAGACAACGCGCTGACCCGGCGCGAAAGTCACGACGCGTCGTTCGCCTTGCAGCCAAGCGTCGCCCACATGATACTCGCCAGCGATGCCGGATTCCAACTCCCACATCAAGAGACCGGTGTACTTGCAGTCGGAAACGTCGAGCTGCTTGATGCCCCTGTACACGGTGACGGCCGCGATTGGCTTCTGGTCCGCCCAATTGTCTCCTGACCAAAAATATCGTATAGCCAAGTTCAACCATTTCTCCGTGGTCTCCGATGGCTCCAGAAAGACTCCGGCCCGGTAACCGAAAAGGCGGCCAGACCGCAAACCGTCGCGCGTGTCGGCGGACCCGGCGAGGGTCTTGGCGTACTTCTCCACCTGGTCGCGCAAATCGTACAAGATCCCATCGCGATTCGACCCGATCCGCCCTGTCGAACCATCCGCGTAGGTAAGGATCTTGCAACATGGGGCGCATCAGCTCCGGCTCGCCGACCGGGTGCCCAAGGCAACGGCAACGAGTAAGTCCAGGCTCTTCGCGCACCACAATGGCGTTCCAACAATAGACGTCCCCGGGGACACATGTCACGAAATCGGGGCGCCACGTCGCGAGAGAGCTCACGCAGTCGACGTCCGGGACCTCGAACTCGTTCCGCGCGCCCCCGCGGTGCCCCGTAGGCTTCACGACCCCAGCGCCGAACCTGCCGAATCCACCGCCACCTTCGCGTGTAGCCGCATAAGCGGTGAAAGCCAATCCGGCTGCTCTGCCTTTCCCCGAGATCTCCCGGCGGTGTTCCGAGTAGGCAATAAAACGCATCGCCTGCTTTACTACGCCGTCGCGAATGTCGAAAACAGGGTCTCGAAAATGAGCGGTGCAGAACTCGCCGCCGCCCCGCGCGCTTGCATGTAACCTTCGTCGCCGGAATCTTCTGGGCAGCGAGGTGTTCGCGCTGGCGCGCGTAGATCTCGCCCGCGTCGGCGCCCAGGTAGCGGTCTGCCCCGCGCATGGGCGCCATCCGTCTGGAAACGTCGAGCTCGCCAGCGGTCGCGCCCAAGGGCCAATCCGGATGCGTGCCGTCGAGCGCGCTGCGCCGCATCGCCTGGGCGCCCTGCTTCTGGCGGCGGCAGGGCGCGAGCGCGGTGCGGAGGGTGGCCGAGAACTCCGGGGCCTTAGCGAGGCACGCGGCGTAAGCAACGCCAAATTGCCGTGGGTGCGCGGCCGTAGCCGTGGTCAGACGCCCCTCCACCTTCGCCTGCTCGCGGCCTCCCGCGCACCGCATGGCCAGAGGCCATGGCCAAGGCGCACTGGTCAACCATCTCCAAGACTTCCGGAGCAACGCGTCCGCGCCTGTGGCCACCATGCCGTGCCTGCGCCCGTCGAGGTCCACGAAGAAGAAACCAGGCGTCGTGTGAATCCGTGCGCACGCCCTGAGACGGCACAACCATGTCCCGAAGGATCGTCGATATATACGAAAAGCCTCAAATATACTATGTGTAACGCCAGGTCTCCACAAGCCAAAGCAAACTGCATCGTCGCACGATGCTGTGGATTGGGCCAACCGCAAGGGCCATGGTACGCAACCGGAGAAATCCTACAATCGGGGGCGCTACGGGTGATTAAGGGCCTCTCTTCCCTGATCATGCTGAGCAAACGCTGCGTGTCAGAGCGGCGCGTCCAATCCCAGCCGGCCTTCTTGTCCACGGGGCCCATCACGGTGAGGCCCTTCTCGCGGACGCGCCGCGTCAGGATCTCGTCGCCGGAGCCCACCTCCCAGAAAGGCCTGCCGAACGTCCCGCCGATGTCCACGAGGTCCCGGTCGCGCCGCCTGAGCTGCGCAACCGCGCGGCCCATGTGCCCCCCCATGTACGCGGGGATGTCGGAAAGCAGCGTCTCCGTTGTAGTCGGCGAGCTCGGCGTAGACGGCGCCGGCACGGCGCGACCGCCAGGGCGATCAGGCGCTTCCGCGGCAAGCTGTTGCACCTCGTCTGGCCCGGCGTGCCCGCCAGGCAGTCGAGGGGGCGCGTCGGCGGCCGGCTGCGCTCCGCCCATCCCGGCGCGCCCGCCAGGCGGTCGGAGGGGCGACGCGGCGGCCTGAATTTCGCCCACCCCGGCGAGCCCGCCAGGCGGTCGGAGGGGCGCTGCGGCAGCGGGCTGCACCTCGCCCATCCCGGCGGGCCCGCCAGGAGGTCGAGGGGGCGCTTGGTGGCCAGCTGGCGCCTGCGGCGGCCCCTCCTCCACGACGGGCGCCGCGCCTGCGAACCGAGGAGGTCGTCGAGGCGCTGGCGGCGGCTCCGCAGGCTCTGGGGGCGAAGCCGGACACCAATCAAATGGCCCCGTGACGAACTGGGCGTCGCCACGCTGCTGTGCTCCGCGGTCTGGCGGTGCAGCAGCCCAAGGTTCCAATCCCATGCCCCGTCTTCGCTGCTCGATTTTCTGCGGCAGGTCGCCCGGGTGGGCGAACAGCTTCTCGATGAAGTCCCGAACCGGCCTGGCCGACGACACGCGGGGATAGCCAAGTGTGAAGCCGCGAGCGATAGCCATGGCGCTCTGCTGCCGGCATCGGCGAGGGCGTTGGTTCTCCCAGCGATCCACGCACGCGGCGCGTTCGCAAGCGTGTCCTGCGTCTCGGCAACCCAAGCCATCAGCTTCTTGGTCGCCCGGCGTTTCTTCAACGCAGACTCAGCGCGTTCTATGTTCTCGTGGTCGAAGAAAGTGAATACGACGAAACCCTCGGTTCACTTTGACGTCGCGGCGACGCCCTCCTTCCGCGCGAAGAACTCCCGCTCGAAAGCTGACCACCTCGTGGCCACGTCCTCGAACGAACGAGCGACCACCCCGATGACTCGCGGCGCGCCGCCGGGCGAGTCACGCTGACATAGAACAGCGGCCCGCGCGACGTCGCTCGCGTCCAAGTGCAGCTCGAATGGTCTGCCGCTCTCGCAGGGCCGCGCTGCTGCTTCCCAGTCCGGCGTGGCCAAAACGACCTGCTCGATCAGCGTCTCGATTAACCGCGCCCTGGATGCCTGGGCCTCCGCGTCCGCGGCGTAGCCCGTGAAATCTGCACCGCCTTTGGCGTACTTCCTCAGAGGCTTGCATCTCTCTGGGAATAGTGGCCCAAAAAACTCTCGCAGGCATTGGCAAAATGCAAAGTGAGATAATGTCGCTGCCAGTCCGGCACTCAGGCCACGCCCGTAATTGGTCAATTTTGGCAGGATCAACGCTACGACCGTTCTCACCAACAATAAAACCTATGAGCAACGTCTCGGCGAATCCAAATCGACGCTTCTCCAGTCTGTATTGTATGCCGTTCTCTCGTGCTCGTGCGAAGAGTTGAAGTAGCGACGAGATGTGCTCCTCCAAAACCCAATCGGAGACGTGCGTGTCATCGAAGAAGACGTCTGCCAGCTTCTCGCCGGTAGGTTTGTACTCCGATCCGATTGTGCTCTCTTGGATGCGCTGGTAGATGGCCGGCGCCTGCTTCGGTCCAAACTGAAGGCGGCAAGGGATGCACATGCCGCAGTGGGCGATGATTGTCTGCCCCAGACCTGTCTCTGAGTCGTTTCCAACACCGCTGTGCCCCCAAACGCAATCGAGAGTCGCGCGGCAGCCACGGCGTGGCATCCCTTGCCCATGGCGCGCAGGAGCACCGACTCCGCGTCTGGAGCTGGCCAAAAGACGTCCTCCGCGGCCTTGTTGTAGCACGTGTAATCACCAACCATGCGCCCAAGTAGAGAACCCTTCCGTTCAACCATGAAAAGGGGTGTCACCATAGGCGGCATAGGGTCATCACGGGTCCACTCGCGGAGCTTGCCGTCTATGATCTGCTCCTCGATGTGGTGCGAAATGCGGGCCTCGTTAAACTTGGACATCGTGCATGGTTGTCTGGCCGTGCCCATAGCTCCCGGCTTCATCTCGACGTGGGCCTGGTACCCGCGGATTTTGGGCGTGGGAGCGCCTTCTGCCCATGGGCAATCAGACGCAGGCCTGATCGCGCGCTCGCAGATCGCATCCAAGAGCTTGTCTGGGGCCAGCTTCTTGTCCCGGACAATCTGGCAAAGAAGATCACGATGCTCGTCGGAGGTCCGGTCATACTCCGGCGCGTCGAACTCTCCCTCTTGGCCTCGATCTCGGCCATAAGCTCGTCGAAATGCTTCGCCCCTTCGTCGGTCCGCAGTTTTGCCTTGCACTTGGCAGTTGCGACCCGTCGCCTGTCCAAGGGTAGGGTGTCGCAGTCCTCCAGAGTGGAAGCAAGTTCCAACTGGTGTTCAATATCTGCCATTACTTCCAGCTCTTCGTAACCCATCCGTCGCAATCTGCACGCAGATCTTCCGAGCATCAAGGTCGTCTCACCATGCGACTTGTTAATTGTCATAACCGCCATACCAAATTTCCCACTGCAATTGATAGGATGAACCGGACAGTTCAACAGATGAGCGTCGCCACCAATTCCCTCGCACCACAATGGCCCGCGCATGCCCTGCGCCCCCGCCTCGGCCCCGCCAAGGGTGGCAGCGACATCCGCCCAACCGGTGTCCGAAATCTCGATTGGCGGTAACGGCCTGGATGCGCTCGGCGGCCCGGCGCGCCCGCCAGGCCCGGCGCGCCCGCCGGGGACGCGCGAATGCAAAGAAGCAGTGGCCTCGCGTCGGCCAGGCCGCTGCGGCGGAAAGACTCGGTCCACGAACCGGCCGAGCAAGTGCACGCAAGAGCGGCGAAACTCGCAGCCGAAGTCGGAATCCGATGCCCGCGTGCCGAAGATGAGAAAGTCACCTGGGCCAGAACACTCGTTGAACGTGATGAGCAAATCCAGCATGTCCGGCTTCCCGTCCTCCGTCTTGCGCCCCTTGACTGTCGCCGCCCGGTCGCTCTCGCACTCCGTGACCTTCGCCATGTCGGTCGTGAAACCGCCGATTTCCTCTTTGTCGATTACCTGGCGCTCGCGGAACGAATGGTTCCCGCTCTGGCTCTGCAACCGAGACAGATCTTTGTCGACGGCATCCAAAGCACTGCCGCAATCCACAAGAGAGTGGACCTCTAAAGGCCCGAGGTGGACTGGAATCCGGCACGGAACCGGAAGAAGTGACTCTCCAAAAGGATACCCGTCACCTCCATCACTGAGCCTGTCTCCAGCAGCCTCTCGGCGACGGCGCGTCATGTCGTAGCTGGCGTCGGAATCGCGACCACTGCAGTTGGCCGCGAACCAGTTCCCCAAATTCCAATACTGATCTGTAAGCACACAACCACTGTGCAACCGCATACCAATCGAAGTGGGTAGACTCCATAACCCCAGCGCCTCCGCGTTGAGACTCGAAGCCGGCATCCGTGTAGAGGTTCGCCCCGTTGACGCGAGCGCGTGAACCAGCCGTTGCACCGGTAGTGGTGGTAGCCGTGCTGGTAGACGTAGCAGCTGTAGAAATAGAGGTAATGAACGAAATGATGCTGTACATGGTGAACACCAACATGACGACCGCACCAAAAACATGCAGAACGCGGTGGTGGCAACAAAGTGTGGCTCTTTTTCCCTCTGGGAAAACTGCACCCACTGGTGCGACAAACGGTCCGCGGGCTCAGTCGCCGTTGGCTCAGTCGCCGTGCTGCCGGGCAGCTCTGGTGGTCGTGGACCTGGCTCTGTCGCCAGGCTGCCGGGCAGCTCTGAAGGTCGTGGACCTGGCTCTGTAGCCGGGCTGCTGGGCAGCAGCGGAGGTCCTGGACCTGGCTCTGTAGCCGTGATGCCGGGCAGCTGTGGAGGTCGTGGACCTGGCTCTGTAGCCTTCTCGTTAATAGAGACCTCATCACAGAACGAATGCATCAACGATCTGGTCTGCTCCGGGTCCTTGTCATACTCTGGCGCGAAGATCTCTGGGTCGAACTCGCTGTCCTCATAGTCCGAGTCGTGGGCGGCTGGGTAGTAGGCGTGCCACTGCTGCGCGCTGAGCACGCGCGCGCAAGACATCCGCCGGAGGCCATTTCCTGGCGGGCGCCCTTCGATGCCAACAGCACTGCGCATGGCCCCACCTCCGGTGGACGATGCCAGCCCCTGCTGTGACTACTGCCATGCACGGTGCTGCTCGGGTGCCATCATGACTGGCACTGTCGGAGGCGCCGGTGGCGGAACGCAGGCGCCTGCGGCAGGGGCCCCGGGCGCGGGCCGCGACGGCGTCGCGTAGGCTGCAGCTAAAGACGACGCTGGCCTCTAAGCGCCCACTACACCTGGGTGGCTGGCGTCTGCATTTGGGTGGCTGGAGGAGCCATCGTCGTAATTACCCGTTTCGTTCTCCTCTTCAATTATTCACCCATCTCCCGCATGATGATGACACGGAATATTCAAATGAGGATGGCGATGTCGATGAACATAACGATGTCGATCGATGGTAATGGCGATGATGACGATGGCCACGGCGATGGTGATGATGATGATGATGGATGATGATGGTGAGGCTGATGATGACGACGCCTGTGATGTGATTTCTAAGCCCCGTTGAAATCGCATGCGTCAGTTTCACTTGTCGCCGCCCTCAAGGTGGTCTCGCCAACCCCATGTTGAATGCTCAGGCAGCTTTCGTCGACGTTAAAAAAGAGAAGAGGATGAAGGGGATGAGGAGGAGGATAAGGGGGGGAGGATAAAACATTTAGTTCAACGAGATAAAGCAAGATGTCGTTCAGATATGAAGTCGGTCTTTCGAGTTTCAGTATGTGCGGTTTGAAATGTTCATGGTCGAGGCATGCCTTGACCCCCGCATCGTCATCGTCTTCGTCGTCGTCGCCAGGGAGAAGAGCGCGAAGAGGAGGCACGAAGACGAGCCCGGCTAACCCAAGCGGAGCGCCTCCCTCAGCGTTGGGTTCAGTTCCAGGAGATGATCGTCGACTTCATCCTCTAACGCCTTGATCGCAGCAGTGATCTCATCCTGTCTGTTTGTGTTTCTTATGCCGTCCGTCGTCGTCGTCGTCGTCGTCACCCCCTGCGATCTTCGGTATGCGGCCTGCGCTGCTCTGGCGCCCTGATCTGTTCGGCCACAGCAATGTGGGACTCCTGGAGTCCGTTTCGAGAGTCGTTTCAAACGGTCTCACGGAATTCCACATTGTTGTGGCCGAACAGATCAGGGTGCGAGAGCAGCGCAGGCCGCTTACCGAGGATCGCAGGGGGGGACGACGACGACGACAACGAAGACGACGACGACAACGACGACCACGACCACGACCACGACGACGACGACGGGTCCTGCTCGCACAGTGGGCGGCGGCGAAGCGCGCCGTTGAGATCGAACCACAACGCGACCCAACCATCAAACGGGCAGTAGTTAACTTGCAGGGTGGCTGAGGCGTCGGGTTCAGGCGAACCACCCATAGCTACATTAAGTGCTTGATCTCAGACGGCCGACAACTGCGGGGGTCAAGGCAAGCCTCGACCATATGATGATGTGTGATTGTTATGTATGGCCTGGTGATGATGATGATGATGATGATGATGATGCATGAGTGCTGTTTTTCACTGATTGCAAACCACCGGCCACTTCCGCCATGTCGGCCAAACGTCGCAGCTCGGTCAGGGCTGGGCCGTGGAGAAGTGGCGACTGCTGCGCCGGGCCAACGCCTCCACCATGGATGACGACGACGCAGACATCAATGCGTCTGCGCACTGTCCTTCCACGATGGGAAGAGCAACGGAACGAACGCCGTTTTGAACTCCAGAGCCGCACCTCGCGCTTTCTGGAACGCTTGCGGGGTCCACGCGCATTTGTTCGTGCGCATGAAATCGCGCGCCTGCTTAAATGAATATGTCAGACACTCGCGCCGAATATATCACGGACTGGATGGTAGCTGGCAGGCATTCTGCTCTGCGTCGGGATGACCTGCCAGTGCTTGAGCAGCGGGTCTATGGCCAGCGCATCAATTACCAGCATGTGCCGATGCTACTCTTGGATGCTGATCGATGGGTCCTCGCTCGTGCTGTGCTCGTGTCGTTGCTGCTACTGACATGCTGAGCTTGTGCCGATGCTGCTCCTGCCAAGCGGCCCTGATGGTTTGATCTTCGGCACGAGTAGTTTGCCATCTCGCACCTGCTTGCCACCCATTTTTCCATGTTTTCCTGCACCTGCTTGCCGCCCCTCCTCCCACCGCGAGGTCCACTGAAGCCGTGCATCATATTGAAGGCCATTCGCTTTGACAGTTTCATAACTTGACCTCGGTCCGAAACCGAACAGTCTTGATCTCAATATGAACTCCAATGGTCTTGCTTGAACTCACACAGTTCTGGCGCTGCTGAAATCCAACCCTATGCTCTCCAAAATCTGGATATGGAAACAACAGTAAAGATGAACAGTCTTGACCAATCTCCAATAGTCTTGATTGAATATCCAACCCACGCAGTTAGTCCAGCAGTAATGCAGCATATCCAACCCAATGCTCTCCACTAGTCTTGCTTGGACTCCAACCGTCTTGACCTTGCAATCCAAGAGTCTGAATATAGAAACGTATGGAAACCTCCGCGAAGCTTGATTGATATGGCCACGGACGGGCGGGCGGGCGGGCGCAGCGTGCTTCCACGAGCCCGAGCCATCTACACAGGGGCGCCCTGAGAGGACCCCAAGCGGGCCCCAAGGCGAGACGCCGCCGCATCTCGCTGTCGGTCATTCCCAGGGCCCGCACGAGAGGGCCCACGCGGGCCCCAATATTGCCCGAAATGGGCCCGAGAGGGCCCCAAGAGGGCCCGAGATGGCAGCCGGGGGGAACGGCCAATGAAGGCCGCGCGAAAACCCAGGCAGGGCCCCAGGATGGCCCCACATGAAACCATGACAAAGGGGCCCTAAGAGGATCCCAGGAGTTCCAAAATCGAGGGCCCCCAAGAGGACCCCAGGCTGGCTCAGTCTCCATTGCTCGAGGCATTGTTTGTGGAACCGATGTCCGGAGAGAAGTAGGGTGTCCGCGATTCCGCTGAGCTCTCCAGCGCAGATGGCGCATGTTTGCTCCCCTTCCCCGGCGCCCCATCCTGGAATCTGTTCTGGCTCACCGGCTCTCAGGACTCCTTCGGCGTCACCGGGTGGGTCGGATGAGTTGGCGATGGCTGCGCCTAGGCTTTCTATGAGGAGTCTCGTGGTCGTGGATGCGCCCTCCTCGGTTAGACATGCCTTGAGGCCAGTGGTGCGGAGAAGGAGGCGTATCTGTCTGTGCCCGAACGGGGCGGAAGCACCTGGGGGCTGCTCTCCCCCTTCGCTCAGTATGCCTCTGATGTCTTCGGGTGTGTGTGTGTGTGTCCGCTATCTGTAACCACCTGGTAAGGACCTCGAACGGACTGATGTCAACGCTCCGCGCCTGTAGCACAGGTCGTAGGAGGGGGGTGTAGTGCAGCGGCAAGCAGAGCCACATGGCCCTTGATATCCAATTCCCTAGCTCCAGTTGTGCCCTGGCTTCTCTGAGCAGCCCCGCTGCCACCAACTGGGCTTCGGCGCCGCTGAAGGAAGTGCGATCTATGCACTGCTGCCTGGATCTGCCTGAGGCCTCGTCGTCTCTTTGCGTCGCGTCTAGAGCCCGGATGAGGGCGTCCAGTGCGTCTCCTCCGTTGAGTGCCCGCGGGGGCGATCTGGGGTTGCTGTTAGCATCCTCGCCAAGGATTTGCCTGATGTCTTCATGCCATGGCGCGGTGGTGTTCTGCGCTCTTACTCTGGAGGGGGAGGTGGGCTGCCGACCTCCTGCTGTGCCGGCCCCCGCGTTGCCGCTCCTGGCATTGACCCTGGCGCTTCGCGCGCGCATCCCGCGTTCCACTGTATCCCTGTCTGCTGTTAGGATCGCCTCCTGGAGCTGACCGAGTGGGTCAAGCCATTCCATGGTGCGTTGGAGCTCATGGTCGATGTATCCCCCTGGGAGGGGAGCTGCGATCGTTCTTCCTGTCTGTCGGGGTAGGGCAGCTGCGATCAGCCCAAGGCGGTGGCGCGCCCCTTCTGGCGAGGTGACGCCCATCTCGTGCCATCGCGAGGCCACGCGCGTAACGGGGGAGCGTGGGGCCCCCGTGGCCTCGAAGACGTGCTCTAGCGCGGTTCTTCCGCTTTCTGACGTTGAGCCCCAGATCAGCGGGGCCAGGAGCCGGCCCCAGGTCATGTTGGCGGGCATGCTGTCGTTCGCCACCTGGGCGCGGATCTCGAGGATCTCCTGAAGCACGCGCCGTGCGTTGCCCTCGCTTTCCGGGGGGGGCTGGGTGCGCGGGCTCTGCCGGTGTCTGTCGGCCGCCTGTGCCTCGCTTTCTTCTCTCCTCGTGTCCCGCTGGTCGTTCCCGCGGGCCGCTGGGGCGCCCGCCCCCCGCGCCCTTGTGCGCAGTGCGATTGCGAGGCGCGCCGCTTCCCCGCAAGGGCTGCCTGGCGCTAAGCGGTGAGCAATGATTATTCCCTCTCTTCTGGCCG